AGTTCGTCTCTCCTGCGAACCGAAGTGAACTTTTGTGACTCCCTGCGAAGAAGAACTTCTTCCGAAACTCTTCCGTTAGTTTCCTGGGTAATCCCCGGATGCAAGGAAACCCCATCACCTTGTCTTGTGAACGGTGGATGCGCGTGTACAATCCCTCGATCCACTTTCGACGTCTGCATTGTTGTCATTTTCGCACCCTCCACAGTGGATGTATGTATAAAGATGCTTGTATTTTCTCGTTGATTAGACACAGATCTTAACGAGATTTTGTTCCAGAATGCAAGAGTGTTTAGATTTGTCGTCCTGAATGCACTGTGCATGCCATCTGCCTTATGTTGCACGACATCTGCAGACAGTTTGTGGGGCCGCCTCGAAAAAGTCAGGCGCCTCGGATTTTTGTTGATCTGATCTACTGACACTAAGTCGCGGGTTGATCCCTCGAAACCCCAACCCGATTATTTGCATGGTTGCATGGGCTATGAAAGATGTCTCCCTCGTGTCGAAGGGAAGGAAAATGCTAGTTAAATATTTTTTCGATACTGTTTTTTTATGACGTCTCGCGGCTTTTGCAAACAACACAGGATTCGTGAAAACCCAACAAAACCATAAAACCCAACATTTTGTATAGAGTGAAAAAGTAGAGGTCAAACTTTTATTTCTGATTAAAAATAAAAAATACATTTTTGACCACTTTCCAAGAGACAAGGCAAAAAATCAGGCAAACAATCGAGCGATCCTTAAGATGTGGAGGAAAACTCGTTCTTACAAAAATCCTGTTTTAGGACTATAATTCATTCTCAATAGACTTCCATAAAAGCAGAGCTCCAATAAAACGAACTCGAAAGTTGTAAAAAAGCAGTTTTAGTGAATTCTAGCATATAGGACTATATGTCGTTTTCAACATTTATAGACTCAAAATAACAATTTTTAGTTAACAATAAAATATTTCTAAAAATATATATGTTATGCAAAATAATAGCACAAACAACTTTTTGTCTCAGACACATCTTAAAATTCCTAGTCGAACGCAAGTTAAAAATAAAAAACCGAAAAAAATAAAATAAAAATAATATTAAAAAAAGGGAGAATGTGTTATAGCAAACGTATTAACAAACGAGATAACACGTTCGCACATTCACCAAACCCTCAAACATGTTTGTCGTGATACACAACTTATAGGACTATAAATATGATCTTTTGAGATAATAAAAAACATGAATATTTGAATTTATAAATATATGATACTCCGCCTAGTAATGATTTACTGTGAAAAATTTTGTTTTTTTTCTCGCCACTTCCAGTGGTTCTAAAAAAATATTTTTTTATTCTTTTTTTGTGGTTTCTTAACATCGCAAAGAATCTTGCTCTTGTAGAAGGCCTAAGAACCGTACTTTCAAAATCCTAAATAAATTTTGTTCAAACCTAACATTTTTTTTTTTTGGGTTTTCGCGAATTCTATGTTAAACTCATTTTGATTATTTGATATGTGGACTAACGATCGCTCCTCGATCGGGCGCCAGCCTCCCGTATCTCCCTCGCCAACGCGCCTCTTCCCTTACAACGAGGGAAGAACACGTGTTTGCAAGTGGAACGTACGAGAAACTATCGTACGGATCGGCGGACAATATTACTTCCCTTACGAAAATCGTTGTTCGGGGTTCGTGGATGCGGGTTTTGTCATTATCGATACGCACTTCCCACCCTACTCAGTACTGTTGCCATTTAACGAGCTGATCGTCATTCCGTGGAGGACATTGGCGCCCCATTGGCCTCGAACATTGTGCACTGAGTGCCAGCATTTCGATCGCTACGAATCAAAGAGCTTTCACTATCGCATACGGAGTGAAGACGGGCACAAGGAAAGAGCCACGCGGCTGAGACCATCCACGTCGGACTCGAAACTGACCAACGAGCGACGTCGGGACTTGATACGGAAACGGGACACGCGGAGTGTGTCAAATCCCTTCCGCTCTAAACGAAGATCCGTAGCGCGGTGGGAAGCTCGACAATACTTTTTGGATTGAATTTGGATTTTATTTGTTTCGCGTCATGCCCGCGCGCGCATTCCGTGACGTGCGAAAGCAACTGACCTACTTCATCGGACCAACATGGGGGATTTCAGTTCTGTCTGTGTCCCCACACTCAATTTTCCAAAAATCCTTGGCACACCCCATCTTGCTGTTTTTCTGGGCCTTCTTTCCGCACTCTTAGCACTCCGAACGAAAAACAGCACAGGGTGTGAGGTTGGTATCGGAGATAACTCGTGTCGGTTCTGATGATAGTAAGTCGAACTGGCAAGAGGAAGAAGAAGTCCTCAACCTGCTCGTCGAGATCGGCTAGTAACTCGATCAAGATCTGGTGGGGCTAGACAACCTATGCCGATGGCCGACGGTAACGTAGCTCCCCCCATGGTGATTGTTAGTATTCCCGCCGCTTTTCCTTTCTTTCCCAATCACACCCACCCCGAAGCTTGGTTGGAGGCTGTCTATGCTCAAGGATATAGCGCGGAGGATCTCCTCCGCGTCATCACCTTGCTGCTTCGCAACACCGGCGCATGATTGGTTTAGGAAACACCTTCAAACAGGCGTTCTTGGCTAGATTTGATACGGTCAGCGAAGATGTTGCTTGGCATGTGCTCAAGACTTGACCACAAGAACCAGGGGAATTGCTGCCCGACTTCGTAGATCGATTCCAAACTACGTTGGACAAATCAAGACGAGATGAAAAGTCCGCCTGAGATTTGTTCATCGATCATCTACGAAGTCCGACGCCGAAAGGTAAGCTGCAGAAAAAGGTTCCCCCTAAAAAGCACCAGCTATCCGCTATCGTCACTAAAGCCCTTGAGTTAGACCTGACGGATACAAAGAAATATATCATTTAGGGAGACAAAGACATTACGGACACGATTCATGATGTAGCGGCGAAACGACGATCGTGGTTATGAGCGGTAGAACGATTCTATCCCCGGCCTGATCATGACCTTTCTGAAGGGGCTGCCTCTGATATCCCGTCAGCCCCTTCTCCCCCCCCTCCGACTCTCTCAATGAATCAACAGGTAGCAACTGTTAAACCTAGAAGCTCCCAAGATCCCTCCCCTGTGACCATAACAAACATGCACTTGGCACAGATGATCCATACAGCTACTACTAAACAATCTGAATGGATGAGCAACCTGGTCCAAACGCAGGCGGCTCACATGGATCGAATGGAACCGATAATGAGCAGACTAATTAAGCCCAACCCGGCTCCAACTCGACCTACCCCTGCATCGTTCCCGCTTTTGCCTGCTCCGCCTGCACCTGGACATGCACCGCAGTACCCTCCTACAGGTAACCCGACAGGGAAAATCAAGTGCTACAACTGCAAACAGCCCGGGCATTTTGCCCGGAACTGTCTGCAGCCAAAATGAAATCATCCTCCACCTGCCGCAGCCCCTGTAGCTCTGAATCAAGGGCGGGTGGCCGCATTAATGGATACGGCCCGAAACGAGGAGATCATTGCATACGCCTCTAAACGACCCTCCCCCTCAATAGCAGTTGCATCAACCTCACGAACTTCTTCTTCCGAAGCTGCTGACGCGGTTGATCCGGTCGAATACCTTCATCTCACCGGCATGATCGGAGTCATCCGACGAGCCCAGGACGATTTTCAATGGGTCGAACGCGAATCTAACCCCGGACCGCAGTTTCGGACGGAACTCGGAGAAAGTGATGTACTATGAACGCTCAAGCAACTGGACAGTCACGTTCCGGTCCCAGTAGGGCATTTGCTCACTATATCCGAAGCAGCAAATGACAAGCTGCTGCAGCAATGTCAGAGGAATCAAAAGCGCTTTACATACCAGTCCATACAACGAATGTTGAAAAAAAAGAAGGAAGAAGGAGCAGAGGGTGTTGCATCATATGAACCCGAAGTTGGTGAACTTGAAGCCGGGCGAGTAGTTGCAATTTCCTTAGCTGAGAAAGATCACTTCGTGCGAGCTCGACCACTGTTGTGGAAAAGTGCTGAATGTGATTGCGAAGTATGGGGCAAACCTTTTAACGCTCTCATCGATACTGGCTCCTTTGCGGTCGCTATATCATTAGACACGGTAAAAAGAACGGGACGACTCAACTCGATTCTCCTTCAATCTGGCAAGGACCATTATGTCTCTGCCGACGAGGAAACAATGAATATCGTAGGAGTCATCGAGAATGTGGTTGTGAAAGTTGGACGAGTACACGTCCTCGTTAACGCTTTAGTCATAGATGTGCACTCATATTCGGTGTTGTTAGGACTGCCTTGGGCAATGGCGGTAGGCGCCCGCATGGATTTCGATTCCAAGCAGATGGTGCTCACACAAACAGGAGGAAAACCTCAGACAGTCGCGTTGCGGATTTCAACGTGAACAGTAAAAAATAATCCTAATCCTGCTCGGATAGGGATGATTCAAGGTTCCGATCACGAGGAATTTTCATCCCCGGGTAATAGTAGCGGATTCGAAGAACAGGAGTGCGAAGAAGAGATGCCTACTGAGAGTGAGTGGAAACACTTGGTTGAACTTTTCAAGCACGAAACCCTTGAGGAATTTCAGATGGTTCCCAAAGTCGCCCGAACCTTCTACTTGAGTCTGGAAGACAACGCGCTCGTGCCTATGGAAACCCAGGTCAGTCCTTCGACCTTTCTCGGAGATCCCATCGTGCAAATATCTGACCTGGCAGACGATTTGGAACCCCCTCGCACTTTGTACGAGGGAACACTTTCCCTCCGAGCACGCTATCAACAGGTGAAACAATACCTGGATGTTTTTGTTTTCCCTCCAAGGTCACTACTTACGATAGGAGCAACCATCGCTCTGATTAAGCAAGAAGCCGAAGCTTCTGTCGACGATGTGCCCGATCTGATGCAGAAAATGGTGGATCTAACAGGACTAACAGTGGAAGAAACCTCAACTGATTCGGAAACTGACGCCGAAGTTAAGGAGACCGATATCATTAGCCCCGCTGAATCCCAGATGATCGCGACTGTATTTTCTGTCCTCACTAGCAGCTCTATTTTCTCTAGCGTCCATGATGGACGGAATCGGCCTGCTGATTGAATCGATATGCCCCTTGAGATACCCGATCGACCGACGGTCACTCTGCCCGATAACGTCCCCCTAGAATTTCGGCAATCACTGATTAACGTCTTGAATGGGTACGTAGAGGTATTAAGTGTGCTCGATAACGATATTGGGCTATCTAACGTGATCGAGCATGCCATTCTTACGGGGGATCATCCACCCATTAGCTGCGTTCCTTATCGATACTCGCCAGCACAACGGACGGCCGTGTTTCAACGAATTAAGGAGTTCGCAGTTAATGGATGGATCGAACCCGCTATAGGACCTTGGTTGTTTCCTGAGGTAATCGTGCCCAAGAAGGTCAGAGGGATTCGCATATGCATCGATTATCAGAAAATGAACGATATCACGATCAAAGATGTATACCCTCTTCCCCGGATCGATGAGCTGTTGGATGCGATTGGGAGTGCTCGATTTTTCAGTAAGTTTGATGTTCGACATGAGTTTCATCATCTGCTTGTTCGAGAGGAGGATCGTCTGAGAATGGCGTTTATGTTGTCTGAAGGTACCTGGCAATGGGTTCGATGTCCAATGGGCATTTGCAATGCCCCCGCAACCTTTCAGCGAGCCATGAACATGGTTTTCCAGAACTTTGTGCGGAAGACCCGTCTGGCGCAGAGTATCATCAACTATTCCGTGATTGTGTACATGCATGATATTCTGGTGTATTCGAGTTCGTACGAGGGGCATGTGCAGCACATCGAGTGGACGCTGCATGCATTGAGAGATGCCGGTTTCAAGGTGGCGCTGGAGAATTGCCAGTTCTTTCTCACCACCATTTCCTTTCTGGGACACGTGGTCACAGACCAGGGACTCAGACCGGAACCACAAATGGTGGCCGCCATGAGAGATGCGCTTGTGCCTACGACTATCACGCAAGTTTGCACTTTTCTGGGCCTGGCCTCGTACTACCGAAGATTTATCAAGGGCTTCCCGGCTATTGCGGGACCCCTCACGAATCTGTTGAAAAAGGATAAGCCGTTAATCTGGAGGCCAGAGTGTGATCAAGCGTTCTCGAAACTCAAGGAAGCCCTTATTTCGGCTCCGGTCCTTATAAGACCGGATCCTGCGAAGCCTTTTGTCCTCATCACGGACTGGCAGTTGGAGGCAATCTCAGGATTCTCAGCGATCTTGGCCCAGGTGGGACCAAGCGGACTCGAATGCGTGGTGGAATACGTGTCTTAGTCAGTGCCTGCTTGCAAGCGCAATTACGCCGCCTCGACAGGAGAATGCTACGCGGCTCTGTGGGGAATCAGTCACTTTCGAGCCTATCTGTACGGGCGGAAATTCACGCTGGTGACCGATCATGAGCCATTATTAGCCCTGAAGAAATCTAAGGATTACTCGGGCATGATCGGGAGATGGGCGACGGTGCTACAGAGCATGGACTTCGACATTCGCCATCGAAAGTACGAGAGGGACGGGAATGCTGACGGATTGACACGACTGCACCGACCCGAGGAGATCCTCAAGAGCGAGGAAGTGATCCCGTGGAACGAGCCGAAGGATGAGAACGGACTGCGGTACGGACAAATGGAAATTTTATCGAAGGAGTGAGTGACACGAAGCCGACCCTCTCGCCTCCTCGGCTTTCTTCGCCACCCTTCCCGATAAATTCTGTTATTTTTGCACGTGTATTACACGGGTTAATGGGGTGGATTGTCACCCTTTTGAGACCGGATTTGTTGAGTGGGTGAACTGTGCCACGTGTGTCAATCGTGCACACGGTGCATGCGTTCGATACCGAACGAATAGCAGGGAATGGAAGTGCCCTCTGTGTAGAACGGACAAACTCCCTACTGAGGCGCGATTCGAGGCTGCCCGAACGGACGGCCCTGAATATGACGAGAAATACCGACGAGCAGAGGTCTTGACGGATAAAATTTTATTAGCTAAATTGGCTGGTTTACCATTGGATCATCTCACTAAGCACGACAGACGTCGGGTTACCGAGAGATCCCGGGATTACAGATGGATCAACGGTCACCTAGAGAAGCGTAAAACTGACAGATCAGGTCTGTGGTTGACGATTCCTCATCCATTCCAGAGATATGATTGGACTCGATCTGCTCACGAAGAGCAGGCCGCTCACTTCGCGATACGTGTCATGGAAGCAACTATAGATTGGAATCGATGGTTCTGGTCTAATATACAAGACGATGTCAGATACGTAGTTGCCAACTGTCTGGTCTGTGCCGCCGACCGTGCCCCAATACGGGGACCAAACACGATAGTACCGACAGAAGTAGAGCGCCCTCAGCGAGTCAGTATGAACACAATAGATATCGACGTGCCACCTGGCCCAAAACGTTGCGAGTATTCCATCCTTTTAGTTTTAATAGACCATTTTTCCAGATACATCGAGGTCTACCCCTGCAAGACCCGTAAGGCTGCATAGATAGCCACGTACATTGATCGGTTCCTTTATACCCATCTAGATACGGAAGAGATTCTAACCGACAACAGGGCTGATTTCAAAGGCGAGGTAGAGGAATTACTCGCACGATGAGGCATTAGGCTTTGACACACGGCACCCCACGTTTCCCAGTCGAACGGGTTGGCCAAAAATGTCAACCGCATGATTAAGACTACCCTCCGTAGAAATTTAGCGACGCGTGACACGCGTCCTTGGCCCGAGATCGTATACCAAATCGGCGGAATACACCGGGTCACCCCTCACGAATCCACGGGGTTCACCCCCTTCCAGCTTCGGACCAATAGCCTCCCATGTGTCGATTATCGGGGCAACTCGAAAATTGCCGAAGCAGGGGGTAGAGACATGCGTGCCGCCCTCAAGGCCAAGGCCAAAAGGTACGCCGATTTAATGGAGAAGGCCGTCCCGAAGCTTAGCCCGAAAGAGACAGAAAAATGACTGATCTAGCCCACGGACGGCAAGTCCGTAGCTACAAAGCCCGAAATGGAAACGCTGGTCCCCAACATCAGTATAAATTAGGGGACTTGGTGCAGGCACGTAAATGTGCACGCGACCGGAAACTCGCTCCCAAATTCTCTGGTTGTTTTCGAGTAGTCGAGCTCGGGCCCGACGGTGCCAACACGGTGCGCATTGCCCCCGAAGCAAGCGCCGACCATAACTATGTCCCCATCATCCGACATATCTCTTACATCCGTCTCCTCCCTCCTTCTGATCTCCCTCCGTCTCCCTCTTCTGCTGAAAACGAGGAGACGATGATCTAGCCCCCGCCTCGTTCTCTCCCTCTTGTTCCCATCCCTCATCTTCTTCCCCGTCCTCGCCATGAGTTTCATCACGGAGCAAGCTCTTGGCAATCATCTGTTGCAGCCATGTGGCTACATCTCTGAGATCCGGCAAGTTCGTCATTTGTGGCTCAGTCCTGATCTGCGAAGATTGGCGTTGTTCTTCTGCACCGAGGGAGCGTGTGCTGTCGCTGCGTTTCGATTCGCCGGAAGTCCGCAGGCAGTAGTATTGGCGGAGGTGGTGGCATTTTATCGACGGGCGGCTCCAGGGACGAGCCACGTCACCACGGTCGCTGCCTTCAACGGTGACATCAGCGCGGTCGACCCACTTCGGCATACCGCGATCTTGACCTCTTTACGAGAGTGGACGCAGTAGTTGTCAGCTGAGTGGCATCACGTCTTGCGCGTCCGGGGAACAATCTAGTCCCGACATTCGGGACTGACTTTGACGGAATTCGCACCTCTCTGCGCCAGCCCGCAGTGGTGCTCCCCACTCTCGTTCCCTTTCAACGCCCCCAATGAACCGCGCCGCCCCTCTCGCTCCCCTCTCCACCTTCGGTCTTCCCTCTCTCTTCCCCACCTTCTGGCAATCCGATCTTCACCCCCACCTTTCCTTCTTGCTCGAGCCCCTTGCAGTCCCGCTCCTCGATCCCAGGCATTGGCGAGTGTGGCGCGAGACTTTTGTCGATCTGTTTGTGTGCTTGGCTCGAGTGGAAGTGACGTGGACAAGGACCGACGAGCATCCTGCGTGTCTTGAGTACCTGGAGCTGCTGATCATCCAGGCTTGGCGAACTGACGTGGAGGGCGATCTTCTCGGTTTTCTTTTCGGATCGGTGCCGCCAGGCCATCGCCAGCAAATTGTCCAGGAACTCGTCGTCCCGCTCGCGCAGCTGGTCGACAACCTTTCTCGCGATATTGTTTCGCAAAGTGACGAGAGTCCGGCCCCACACGTCCTTACTCGGACCTTGGCACCGTATCTTCAGTGGTCGGCGCGCTTGGAAAAACAAGGGAGTGAAAGCACCCTGCCATTGCGGCAGGAGTACTTAAAGCCGTCCGGGGTCATCGATCTTGCGTTCTATCCGAAGCAAGATACGTCCGAGGAGCCGGTAGAAGAGGAAGAGGAGGAAGTCACTGAAGAAGAAGGCAGCGTCGAAGAAGAGACGTCGGAAGAAGGGAGTTATAGTGAGCACAAGAAAGGAGAGCAGAGTGAAGAAGAAGAAGAAGAAGAAGACGAAGAGGTGGAAGCCGGATCGGAGTGGGAGACCTTGCCGGAGGAAGCGGCGCGCACTGGTACGGAGGCAGAAGATCCGGAGGCGGCACGTAAGAGAGAAGAGATCGCCGCCAGGAAAAGCCAGCTGTAATTCGCCGGTGAGGCGAACCTGCGCATCGACGACGACCCGACCCAGGATCCAGAGCCCCCCGAGCCCGAAGATGGCGGCCCAGCAACCGCGGCTCCGAGCGTATCGCGACGAAGACGGAGCCGATCCCCCTCCCCCTCCGCCCCAGCCCGTCCCCCAGTTCGTCCACGTACCGATGCGGGGGATCGACCTTCATCCCCAGTCATTATCCCGCCCTTCCCTTGATTACCTCACCCTCTCTCAGATCTCTACCCCTGTCACCTTCACTCGCAACCCCTTCCCTCCCAATACCTTCCGTCACTTTTTCTCCACCCGCCTCGCCGTCACCGTCCATCCCCACCCTTCCCTTCGATGCGCAAACCCCACGTTCTGTTTACACGTCTTTTTGTTCAGTGCCGCGTGGGAACAGAGCAACACGGTAGAAGTCTACTGCGTAATCACAGGAACCATCCCCGCGTGTCGCCATCGCGAGCTGTTTCGCCCGGCACTCTTCCGCACTTTCTCCACCCTCTACCCTGACTACCTCGCCTCCCTCTCTCAAAGCGGCGATCGATTTCCCTGCTTTCATTGGATCATCCGCTACGAGGATCTTCCAATCACAGAGGAAGGGATGAACCGCTACCTACCCCCACTTCCACCCAACCCTCCCCGTCGACACCCCCCCATGTATAATGTCTACTTTCCCATTCCCACGCGGCGTTGATACCCGCCACGTGTCATGACGACGACCCTTCCCACCCTCTTCTTGTCAATGACCATTCTGAGCGTGGCGATCGGCTGGAAAAATCGACACGCGCCCGCCGAGCAACACGAATCAGCAGTTTTTGCGAAGATCACGCCATTGACGATGTCGTCAACTTATGCTCTGATTCGACGGATTGTGCTGGAATTGGGGTGCAGAGCACACGGAGATCTGATGGACCATGATGGTGCCACCTGGACGATCTCCGACTCGAAAGTTCGAAGGACAGGAGGTTGCATATGACAGGACTGCAGGAAACGGGATCCGAAACAGCATGAGCCGGCATACTTCACAGAGATCTTGCCGCAGATGTTGTCGCCAGCTCATCGTGCTGATTTGACCTCCTACTTCTTCCTGTTTCTTCGTCTCCTCTTACTTACTTGGTTCAAGGTCTTTCATGCAATCAGGAGATCACATAGTTTTGAAACCCCCTGCGTGTCGCATATGTGACGAACCACTTTCCGACCCCGTGCTATCTTTCGTACCCCTTGACTCAATTCCCCCCCCTTTTTTTTGTATCATACCGACCCAACAAAGCCCCTGTCGCTTTTCTTGATTTCCGGTGCTTTGTTTAGGCACCCATTTTTCAAAAGTTCCATTGGTCCTTGGAATTCTGCTTTTTGTAATTCGGGAAATGCAGGGGAAATTATGCGCGCCTTAGTGAGCGCACTGGGAATCGGGCTCGACAGTTAGGAATTCCGGAATAAGCGGAACCCGACGTCTCTTTTTCTTTGCATGTATGTTCTCGGTCACGACGGAGAAAACTCTAGGAATTTTGTGAGAATACGGATAGGCATAGGACTTTCTTTTCCCGCGTCGACTTTCGCGCGCGGATATGGTGATTTCAATTTTTGAATTGGTGTAGGACATAGGCAAGTTGTAAATGTTTTGGTGCCTTATTTTCTCTTGGTGTCGGCGTCGCGCATGCGAGTTTCCTCCTCCTTATTTACCGCGTCCTTCTTCCCCCGCGCTCTCTTCTCTCTCCCTTCCCCCTCCTCTTCTTCTCATATCGCAACTGTTTTTCCCTCTCTCTCTCTCTCTCTGCTTTTTGCGCGCCTGTTTCCCCTTCTTGATCATCTGAATCTTGGACCCGTCTCATGCTGCTTCTCGCGCCTCGTTCCTTCTCGCTCTTCAACCTTAGCTTACGAAGCCCGGTTGATCCTCCGATTACCCTTGCTCACCAATCAGACGCGTTGAGCAAAAGGATCTTCTTGTTGCGCGACGAATCTGATTGGTTGAATATCGGGGTCCGAAGGATCTACATAGCTTCCCTTGAGCACACCTCGCTGAACCTTTTCCTCTTACACTTCGATTTCTCCTCTGTCTTCTCCCCCATCTATCTCCTTTCTCGCAACTATAAATTCCGCAAGCGCGCCTGCAAAGCTCTCTTTCCACTCGCAAGCCAGCTTCCGGGAAGCAGTGGCTAGGTGATGCATTTGGTGCGAGTCAAAAAGTCCTGTCGGGCTGACTGTACACTGGCCGGTTGCACGTTTGATCACCAAGACGGRCTGTGGGATCTAGGCGAGCCGAGTCGAGTCTGCGTCAGCGGGGTGACGATCGCAGTGGCGGAAGTTAGCACGCGACGGCCGGGATCGTCGGTGCGGGTATGAGTATCGATAATTAGAGTGGAGTGGAATGCGCCTTCATTGCGGATCATTTTTTTGGTGTGAGTTCATGGCTGCAAAACCGAATGTTCCCTTGTTGGATTTTGATGTCTCCCATCTCGACATTCTTCGACTCTCTCTCTCTCTCTCTCTCTCTCTCTCTCTCTCTCTCTCTCTCTCTCTCTCTCTCTCTCTCTCTCTCTCATTTGAAGGACGATGTGTTACGAGTTCGTCTCTCCTGCGAACCGAAGTGAACTCTTGTGACTCCCTGCGAAGAAGAACTTCTTCCGAAACTCTTCCATTAGTTTCCTGGGTAATCCCCGAATGCAAGGGAACCCCATCACCTTGTCTTGTGAACGGTGGATGCGTGTGTATAATCCCCCGATCCACTTCTGGCGTGTGCATCGTTGTCATTTTCGCACCCTCCACAGTGGATGTATGTATAAAGATGCTTGTATTTTCGCATTGATTAGACACAGATCTTAACAAGATTTTGTTCGAGAATGCAAGAGTGTTTAGATCTGTCATCCTGTATGCAGTGCGCATGCCATCTGCCTTATGCTCCACGACATCTGCAGACTGTTTGTGGGGCCGCCTCGAAAAAGCCAGGCGCCTCGGATTTTTGTCGATCTGATCTACTGAAACTGAGTCGCGGGTTGATCCCTCGAAACCCCAACCCGACTATCTGCATGGTTGCATGGGCTATGAAAGATGTCTCCCTCGTGTCGAAGGGAAGGAAAATACTAGTTAGTTCTTTTTTCGATAGTGTTTTTTGATGACGTCTCGCGACTTTTGCAAACTCATTTTCATTACTTGATATGTGGACTAACGGCCGCTCCTCGATCGGGCGCCAGCCTCCCGGATCTCGCTCGCCAACCCGCCCCTTCCCTTACAATGAGGGAAGGACACGTGTTTGCGAGTGGGACGTACGAGAAGCTGTCGCACGGATTGGCGGACAATATTACTTCCCTCCCAAAAATCGTTGTTCCGGGTTCGTGGATGCGGGATTTGTCATTATCGATACGCACTCCTCACCCTACTCAGTACGGTTGCCATTTAACGAGCTGATCGTCATTCCGTGGATGGAAGTGGCGCCCCATTGGCCTCGAACCATGTGCACTGAGTGTCAGCGTTTCGATCGCTACGAATCAAAGGGCTTTCACTACCGGATACGGAGTGAAGACGAGGCAAGGAAAAAGCCACGCGGCTGAGACCATCCACGTCGGACTCGAAACTGACCACCGAGCGACGTCGGGACTTGATACAGAAACGGGACACGCGGAGTGTGCCGAAGCCCTTCCGCTCTAAACGAAGATCCGTAGCGCGGTGGGAAGCTCGATAATACTTTTTGGATTGAATTTTGATTTTTTTTATTTTCGCACCGTGGCCGCGCGCATTCTGCGATGCACGAAAGCAACCGACCTACTTCATCAGACCAACACGGGGGATTTCAGTTCTGTCTGTGTCCCCACACTCAATTTTCCAAAAATCCTTGGCACACCCCATCTTGCTGTTTTTCTGGGCCTTCTTTCCGCACTCTTATCACTCCGAACAGAAGACAGAAGAGGGTGTGAGGTTAGCGCGTCACATATACCCCCACTTACCAAATTTCGAAGGGAAGTCGACGGCGCAGCCGAGGAGTATCGAAAGCGTCGGAGTAGACGGCTGGGGATTGAACAACTTTCGACAGGAGGTGTTGAGAAGCATTCTCTGACAACTGGCAAATTTTCTTCAGGTCTCCGACTTCGGCAGGCTGTGTGGCGAGGACAAACTGTGAAAAATCGCATTTTCAATAGTGGTGCGGCGAGGCCCTCAGAACGTGACGAAGCAACTAGAGCAAGTTAAGCGATGCGTAGATTTTAGGAGTTTTCGTGACAGTCACTCTGACAACTCTAGAACCACTCTTGAAAGTTTTTACGAGTTTAGAGTAGTGCACTCTAGACGTTTTCGTGAGTGCATCTGACAGCTATTGAATGGGAATTAGTGCAGCGATGACTAACGCTCAATTTGTCAAGATTTGTTATTATTATTATTATTATTACTATTATTATAATTAAGGGCAATGACCTTGAGGTGTTATCATCGGACTTGACCTTGAGGTATTATCATCGGACTTACGAACACACGTAATTGAATCTTGTGTCTGATCTGACACCAGATGGCCTTTTCAGCCCAGGGTGGCCTTATTGCCTTCAAGGAACCCCCAGTGCGGGACAGTCGGCAACAGAGCCATTGAGCATCATCTGAGTTGCCAGTCGTTGTGCCTCCTCCATTATCCCTTCCCCTATGAACATTAGCAGAGACTGCTTTTGAATGCCAATTGGGGGGACCAACGGGCTATCTCTAGGTGTTGGGCGCCAAGCATGCCCAGGAAGGTACATGAGGCCCCAGCGGCGATTGAACTGAGGTTCAATCCTGAATGCCACTTGCTTGCCTTACCCACTAAGGGCACACTCACACTACCACGTACTTTCGCAAAATTGTAAATTTTATGTAGTTTTTCGGGTCACAAGAGACACGTATTTTGCGTGTTCACACAAAAGGGCACCTAAATGTCAGCGGCCTGGACAGCCGCGGGCTTACATATTTTGCGGGGACCTCCAGGGGCACGGTTCCACTAGCACACGAGTCATGGCCTATTTGGACCTGTGCGGCACTGTAAGAAAAGGAAGAAAAATAATTTTAAAGACTTAAAAAAAAAAAAAATGGCGACGTTACATT